ACATTAGGGAGCAGAACGTAAGATAAAATCAAGTTTCACGGAACCTTCCGAGCCGAACTAGGTCTTGGTTGTTTGTGTTGGGTCTAGGCGAGTTGGCTCGTGAAGGTGGCTGTCAAATGGATATTACCTATGCTTGCGCACTTGCTGTTTTCTTGTCTCTATCCTGCTTGACAGCGAGCTTCAAAGTGAACCTACTTTGTGGCATTTGTTAACGTTTCTTGAAGACGGTATCGTGGTGGACCTTCCAGGCTTGTCCGAGTGTGAGTGTCAAAAAAACCTTAAACCCTATACCCTAAACCCTAAACCCTTTTAATTCTGAGGGCAGCCTTTTTTTTGCGGTCTTTCTTTGCCATGGAAGCCTTCCCAGCGCTTCGGGCGCAGTGTAGGGCTGAGGTAGCCCTCTTTGTGCTAAGGTTTCGGGGCTGTAGGACCGAAACCGTTCCTAAACCCTAAACCCTAAATCCTCTTTCTGCTAAGGTTTTGGGACTTTAGGACCGAAACCGTTCCGCTGTCAAGTCATCTGAACTCTTCATACGCTGGCCCATGGCCAGCAAAAGCGCCTTTAATAATTTTAGCAGTAGAGCGAGCAAGCTTAAATTTTTTTAAAGGTATTCTAAGCCATATGTATTCCCACAGGTGAACCTCTAGTTGCCCAAAGATGCTGGACGAGAAAGCAAAGCCCAAGTCTAGGACATTTACAGGTGGGTAGCTACCGTGATAGGAGCCTTATAGAAGGTCTATATACCTTCTAGAAGCCTTATAGAAGGTCTATATACCCTAAATTAAACCCTAAACCCTAAACCCTAAACCCTAAACCCTAAACCCTAAACCCTAAACCCTAAACCCCGCCTGTAGGTTCCTTTAACCAAGACAGAAGGAAAGACCCTCAAAGCGATCTTTTTTCCGCGGCGCAGGTGCTTGCGCCAGTCATGCCTGAACCTCTGGGGGTAGGATTTAGGGCTCTGCAGGCTTCGGTTTTAGAGTGCGTAGGGTTTTAGGCTTTAGGGTTGAGGGTGAGTAGGGTTTAGGGTCAAGCTTAGGGTTTAGGGTGAGTTGGGTTTGAAGGCTTAGATCCTAGAGCGAGGCTTGGTTTGGAGCTCTAGACATGAGATAGCACACCCTAAGCCCTAAACCCTAAACCCTAAGACTGTAAACTGTAAACCTTCAGAGTCAAAACCCCCAAAAAGGCTTGAACCCTGGGCTTGTCAGAGGCGTCCGATGAGAGAGCGAGGTCCAGGTGGTTCTGAGAGGGTTTAGAGTGGGGTCCCAGATAGGTAGAATGGGGGGATTGGAGTATAGTATGCTGGAATTGAAATAAGGAGCCCCCAGGATTAGTATGGGACATTAATCAGGCCCGTTTATTGGAGTAGCTGGTGAAGACGTTGACAAAGTTGTAAAGTTGTTTTTGCATAAAGTCAGCTAGGGCTTTCGGAGTGCAGGGTTCGCCGGGTTATGGTTTATGTTTAATTGTTTAGGGTCTCGGGTTTAGGGTTTAGGGTTGGGGATGTTGCAAGCCAGTTGCAAAAAGGGTTGGGGATCAGTTTTTGCAATCTGGGGTAGCCGTGTGGCACGAGTCCACAGCACAGTCGGCGCCTCGGTTCCTGGCATATGCATAGTCCAGGTGTAAAAGGG